CCCCCAGGTCACCACTCATCACCTGTCAAGGCGTATAGATTGTGTGCTGCTGAATCAAGGAAGACACCTGGCTACAAAATACACTAACTGCGAACCGTCACACTGACACAACACATTTCACTTTGTTGGTGACACTTCAGATCAGTGAAGACCTGTATTTGATGCCACATTGACCAATCATAGAAAGGGGAAAACAAGCACCTTTGTAAGGGGATCCATTGACGCTCTCAGAGCTGGACTGGATATTGTCCGCCGCAGGTCTTTTTAAGCTGCTGAAGTAACTCCGGGACCTGGAGTGGCTAGTTCTAGGTGACCGGCCACCAGGACCAACAAATGACACCAGGGCACCATCCTTTCGAGAGAAGATGCCACTGAAGAACCTGAGTAGTCTCCTCTCCTGGCCTTTCCTGTCCATCTCCATTTGCTCGGAGAGCTTGTGCAGATCACTATTATCCAGAGTCCGGTTCTTGCTCTTGCTCCGCTCCCACCTCTCCAGGTCGGTCAGGGGGTCGCTTTTGTTCAGCACTTCGCCCACATCTAAGGTGTTCCTCTTGTCAGCTGGGCATGGGTCACCCATGGGCACTTGCTCTCTGGATTCTACCCTTTGCTGGCTAAGGCAGCTGGAGCTGCTGTGGTGTTTCTCCCTGGTCAGGCTCCTGATTTTCAGCAGTTCCCCATTCCAGTGTCTGAAACTAAAGCTTCTCCTCAGAAGGCTGGGGTGTCTCTTATCCCAGGCCCCCTCCGCCCCAGCTTTAGCCCAGTCCACTGATCCTGATGCAGATGTGGAGGCCTCACTATGGGGAGATCCTGCAACATTGTAATCCATGGCTGGGGCAGGCTCACAGGGAACATCCTGCTGGAGGCTGGGGGTGCTATCTGTCCCTGGGGTGCTGATTCCAGTTTCCGGTAATGGAGGGACCCTGGGGGTGCTATCTGTCCCTGGGACTGGAGGGACCCGTGGGCTGCTATCTGACCCAGGTACTGAAGGAATCCTTGGGGTGATGATTCCTGTCCCTGGGACAGGAGAGATCTTGGGGGTGCTGGTTCTGGTCCCAGCAAATGCAGGGATCCTCGGGGTGCTGACTCCTGGGACTGGAGGGATTCTGTCCACAGCAGCATCTCCAGGGCTGGTGATCCGGTCTTCAGGTGTCTCACCTCCTCTGCTGCGGGTTGATGTTCTGGTGATCCGGAGCCGGCCCAGTTCTAGCTGTCCGGTGCTACGGGTCCTGAAATTCCTGAGCCCCGGGTGCGGGGGGAATGTGTCCTGCTCCTCTCCCTCCTCCTCCTCCGGACATCTCTCCAGTCGCGAGTCCCCCACCAGCTCCTTCTTCACCAGGGTCAGAGAGATCCGATACACGGTCTTCCTCTGAGGGGTCCCCCGCTCCATTTGGGGGGGTGTGGGGTCTAGCAGATACATGTCCAGGTGCACGGCGCCCCCCAGCGCGGGGGGTACAAGGCTGGATCAGGTCTTGGTGCAGAAGAAAGGGGGGTGCCGGGGAGCTTCACCCCCTCTCCGCGCTTCTCAGCACCCCGCACTGCCGGCTGTACCCCGCGATCAGAGCCGGGGACAGTTCCGACGGGAACGGCATGAGGAGCCGGGAGATCAGCGAGCAGAGCCCGCAGGAAACTGACACAGGGACAGACACCCGGAGCCTGGGAGTGGGAGGAGACACGGAGGAGGGTGGGAGGAGACACGGCGAGGAGTGGGAGGAGACACGGAGGGGAGTGCTCAGCAAAGCCCGGGCTGGAGCTGGGGAGGAGAGCCGGGGACAGCAGACACAGGCGATATGTAATACTACAATCACATCGTGTCGTCCGATCCGACATGTGTGAGGGAATCGGCTCTCAGCCCACCCCCATTGTCTGTACACTGCGCTATAATCCACCCCCGTTCTACTGTACCCGTGTATAGTGCCGACATCTTCCACAGCGCAGTACAATGTCATGACTATCTACTCCATCCCAATTCTACTGTATATATAGCTCCAACCTCTTTCACAACGCAGTACAATGTCATGATTTGCCGGGACTATCTACTCCATCCCAATTCTACTGTATATAGCTCCAACATCTTCCACAACGCAGTACAGAAGCATATGCAACAGAGTCTATGTGTTCATCGTCATTCCACTGTACCATGGCAATGTCTATGTTGTCATCTTCCCATTTATCAGGTCATAGTTGCCAACATTGGGAGAGCATTAGCAGGGACACCAAAGAGTTAAAGAAGAAACATGCAGAGATGGGCGGGGCAAATAAAGTGGGTGTGGCTTGTAATACTGCACCTTTCCCCCTGTGCTTTGCTAGGTTTTATAAAATATCTGTCCCTGGAGTACACTGCTGAGAAAGGGGGAGTAAAACACCATTGGTGTCACTCACTGTGAGTAAAATAGGTGCCGCTATTGGTGTCACGGTGTATAAAATAGGTACCACCATTGGGGTCACTGTGAGTAAAATAGGTGCCGCTATTGGTGTCACGGTGTATAAAATAGGTACCACCATTGGGGTCACTGTGAGTAAAATAGGTGCCGCTATTGGGGTCACGGTGTATAAAATAGGTGCCACCATTGGGGTCACGGTGTATAAAATAGGTGCCACCATTGGGGTCACTGTGAGTAAAATAGGTGCCGCTATTGGGGTCACGGTGTATAAAATAGGTGCCACCATTGGGGTCACGGTGTATAAAATAGGTGCCACCATTGGGGTCACGGTGTATAAAATAGGTGCCACCATTGGGGTCACTGTGAGTAAAATAGGTGCCGCCATTGGGGTCACGGTGTATAAAATAGGTGCCACCATTGGGGTCACGGTGTATAAAATAGGTGCCACCATTGGGGTCAGTATAAATAAAACAGGGGCCGCCATTGGTGTTGGTGTGAATAAAACAGATGCCAGCCATGGTGTCATTGTGGAAGTTCCATCCATAAAAGAGTTTGGTGGGGAAAGTCTTTTATACATTGGTGTCATTGGGTGGAGAGCCCCTATTTATTGGCGTCAGTGGCTAATGAATAACGTGAAATAAGACCTACTCTGGACATGCCGATTCCCGCATTCTCCTCACTGCCAAGGTTAGCTTCAAATAATGGCCACAGGTTTGGAAGCCAGGCAGGGTACTGTCAGTCACTGAAAGTATCCTGGCCCTCAGCTGGCAACTGAAGTTCTAGTGTCCATTACAGCTAGGAGTAGCCTTTACCTGTAATGGTCCCTCGGACCCCAACGGGTCCAATGCACAGGCCGCACAGCTGATATGTCCACCATTGTTCCTGATGTCTGCTGCTTGAAATGATGATACAAGCTTTTATTACCTGGATGTGCAAGGTCAAGTGGTGGAGAAAAGTGAAAATAGATTGGTAGATACCCCATTTCCGAGTCTTTAATTGAATACATTATACTCACTATCCCATCCCCCAATAAAAAAAAAACTAAGTCTAGCAGCCACTTGTATTCCTGGTAGGAATGATCATTCCAGGGTACATACCTGTAGACATGACAATATCCTTATGTCATACCTTTATGGATAGATATTATGGGGGGAATGTATCAAATATGGAGCAGATTTGCACTGCAGCCAATAATCAGCTTCTCTCTTTCATTTTCAAATAATACCTGAGCAAACTGAAGGGAGATGCTGATTGGTTGCCATGGGCAACTGCTCCAGATTGTGTTTGCTTTAGTGTTGATAAATTTCCCTCTCTGTATTTGGATCAATGCAGATTATTGGATTTTTGAGAGTAAATTTATTCAGAGAGGTCGGTAATGACCAAGCAAAGGAGAACATTGCAAGGTAGGGGGCCCTTAAGACCAAGTCACTCTATATAGCAGCAGGAGATTGCTTACATGTGGCAGCTTGATTCAAGAGCGGCAGCTGCTGGAGCGCACAGGAATCGCTCACAAAACATCCCCCTTCGTTCTGGGGTGGGAGGGGGCGTGACGGTGCATTGAAGTCAATGGCACCGCAGCCACACAACCCCCCCCCCGCAGTGCGATCGGATGTGTGGCAAAACATTGCCTGCTACATGCTCTATTTTTTGCGTTTCCAGTGGACCTAAACACAGACAATGTTTTGCCAGGCGTCCGATCGCACTGTGGGCGGGAGGCGTGGCTGCGGTGCCATTGACTTCAAAGCACCGCCACGCCCCCTCCCACCCTAGAACGAAGGGTGACATTTTGTGAGCGATTGCTGTGTGTTTCAGCAGCTGCCGCTCTGGAACGCACCACAATAGGTATGAATGGGCCCTCAATTGGTGCTGACATTGTCCTTCCTTCTGGAGGGTGGCTACTATTGTTCCCCATGGTCCCTGTGTGTGTTGTAAAGTAGCTACCGCTCCAAGCTCACTCCCGTGATGGACTACAATCTCACGTTCAGTTTATTAATTTATATTAAGATTGTAGTCCATCACAGGAGTGAACTTGGATCGGTGACTACTTTACAACACACAGGGACCATGGGGAATAAAAGTAGCCACCCTCCAGAAGGAAGGACAGTGCCAGCTCCAATTCAGAGATGATTTGAGGCTCTACAGTCGAGTGATACACAGATAAGATACATTTCTGTTAATAGTTCAGGTACTTGTATGTATTTATAAGCTTTAACTCCTGAGTATAGTGTCACTTTAAGTAATCTTCAGGCTTAAAATGTGCATTTTAACATTCGTGCAAACAAATAGGCAAAATCAGATGTGGAAGTGAAAGGGTTCATTGCTATGACTATCAATCAACCCCTAGGGTTCCCTATTGTGTGAGCTACATAGTAGTAGCTACTACATGAAAAAAAACACGCTCCAATTCTGTGTGATTACCTATTACTACATGCTACTATGTACATTATGCTATAGGGAGCTATTTGTTTCTCTCTGACGCTGTTGCAGGCCATTTTAATAGCACAAGTGAGCTACATAGCACACCCACGTAACTCAGGCATCAAACCCCCAGAGCCCAACCTATGGCCAGAGAGCCACATGCAGCCCGTTGGTACTTGTCGTGCAGCCCTTGGACCTCAGCAATCTGTAGGGGGGACATGGATTTGTAAAGAGGTCATAGCAGGAGTCTACTAGCTGCATGTAACATGTCACCAGTCTCCAATCAAACCTGTAACCCCCCCATCTCTGACCATCACTTTCTTTAGGATGTCAGCAGTCTACAACAGTCTTCCATAGTATTACATATACTGAGCAATATGTGTGGCCCTTTGCTGGTGTCAGGGAGCTTCCTATACCTCGTTGACAACCACTCCCTAAAACACAAGCTTGAATACACCCTAACATTCAATGTGGTCAGCCATACAGACCTGTACAAAAACTACAATATTGAGAGAGAGTGAGGAAGAGGAGGGGGCACTGTGTCAAGCACACATTCCAGTATCAGAGTCCCTTCATGTCTTTCTTAGGTGTTAAACGCCACTTCCTAGAATATAGGCTAGGTTTTCCATATAGTAGATAAGAAGCCTAATCTTGGCAGAAGAAGCCTTTTCTCCATCCTCAGTTGACTCCTGTACTGCTGCTCTTTGCCACTGACACACATTGCCATTGGGCTTATCTAATAAGAACATGAAAGCCAAAGTAATTATTAATAAAAATGCAATGAATGAGTATGACTTAATAAAAGTTTAGTCCTTATAGTGTGACATTTTTAAGGAAACAAAAATAATTATATATTATATATATACAATGCTTATATGTTTTAATGGCTGTCATATTTACCCATGGCACCACTAAAATTACTAATTATCCCTTTCATTGTGCATGTTGTATTTACTTCTCCCACTACTCCGTATGTTCTAGACCAGCAGTCGCCAACCTTTCGGACCTCATGGACCACTAAATTCATAATGTAAAATCCCTAGACATCCAGGTTAGGACAATGTTACCTACCCC